GGTGTTGCTCTGGTCTTCGGGAGAGGAGACAAATGTACCGTTTTGTATTAGGTGGTTTGATGTTTGTGTTTTTTGTCCGGTAATTAATTTGAACTTGTTCCAGAATTGCTTTCCGTTTCGGTAGTCAAGGGAGGCGCAGGTGTCCGACCACTTTTCTTCCCGGTATTGATTTATGTCGCGTCTGATTTGGGCGTTTAGGCGGTTGAAGTGTGTTTTAAGAAGTGGATCGCGGGTTCGAACGAAATCTCTGTAGATTTTCCGTTTCTGTTTGATTAATGTTAGGATGCGCGGTGGAAGTGGTCGTTTGTTTTTAGGTATGTGTTTCACGGGTATTGCGTGTTCTTTAGCGGTGGTGATTGTGTCGGTGAGTTGCAAAATTTGAATGTCGATCGCGTCGGTGTCGCGGGTTTCGTAAATTGGAGGCAAATTTTCGGTGATGTGTTCTTTGTATTTTGCCCAGTCGGCGTGTTTATTGTCGTGGACTAGTACGAATTTGTGGGGTTGGGGTGGAGCGGGTAATAGAAGTTCGGCGGTTAGTGGTAGGTGCTCTGAGGTGACCGTGGTACCGATCGAACAGGGGGTGTTGAATTTCGGAATCAGAGGTTCGGTTATGATAATGTGGTCTGGTATAGAAGCACCGTTGTGGGTGATGAGAGTGGGTTGTCTATTTTCAATGCGAAAGAGTGGGTAGTTGGTCAGATGGTTGACTAATTTCCTGCCGTTGCGATTTGTGACGGTATCACCAAAATCTGTGTGTCGAGAATTGAAGTCGCCGATTAGAATGGCGTTGGGGAGTTGAGATACATATTGTAGAAGAAGTGAGGAGATTGTTTCACTTGGTGGATTATAGTAACAGATTATGGTTATTGAGATGTTACTTATTAAGACGTTGGCGGCGATGGCTTCAAGATTTGCGAGGTTGTGTGGGAGGTCATGTTTGACGGATGGGAATTTACTGGAGATAAGGAGGGCCGTTCCGCGTGCGTTCGGGATGACTGAATGGCGTTGATATTTTATAAAGTGGGGAAATTTTATTTCGCGTTTGGTTTTGGTTTCTTGTATTGCAAGGATATGGATGTTGTCAGTTTGAATAAGGTTTTTGACGGCATGTACTTTGAAAGTTAGGCAGTTGACGTTGATGCTTGACATGTTAATGTGGGTTGGATTGGGGTCGTGCGTGCGGTTCGGAGGTTGTGGGAGGGGATGGGGGCTGCACGTTGGGTGGGTGGCCCAACGTGCAGCGGGGGCGGGGGAACATGCATGTTAAGTTGTGTGGCCATTAGAGGTCAAAGGTTATGAAGAGGCGGTGTCCTGAGTGGTTGAATTGGGGGGTTATTTTGAAAATGGCTTGAGATGCGTTTTTGATGGCGGACTGGGTTTTGGATTTTTCGTGGGGGAAGAGGTCAAAGAAGAGTTTTGTGGTGTAAGCTATGAGGGCTTTTGCGTGGATGGTGGATACATTGATTTCGACTGGTTCGGGAACGTCGTCGAGGGGGTCGATAGGGTCGGCGAATTCAGCTGGTGGATTTATAATGTAGGTCGGGATTGTTGGGGTCTCGGGGGTTACGGTGAGTTTTTCAAACTCGGGGCACTTCCGGGACCATGCTGGGTGATTGCCGTGGCAGAAAGGGCATTGCGGGTCGGTTTTGGGGCATTTATTGGGTGCATGTGTGTCGGGGCAGGTGGGGCAAATGGGTTTTTTATTGCACTCGGAGGCGGTGTGCCCAAGTGTGAAGCACTTAGGGCACTGGACAGGTGTGGGTGGTGGTGGGTGTGATGGCTCGCATGGGTGGTGGCGGCCGAAAATGTTGAGACCTGAATTTAGGAGGGTGTCGATAGTTTGGGGGTCGCTGGAAATGACGCGAACTAGCGGGGTGGGTTTGTTAGTTTTTTTGGAGACGATCCTCCAGATTTTGTGGATTTTGAGGTCCACAGAGGTGGCGTGGTTAACGATGTCCATCTCTTCGATGCTGATGTCGACATCGCGGACTACTATTGAAAAGTAGGGAGATTTTTTGGGGTTTTGTTGGGGTCTGTTTCTGGGGTTTATGGGGCCGATGGTGACGCTAGCGTCGGAGCATGCCCTTTGAAGTTGAGAATGGAAGTCGGGCGGCAATTCGCTGCGTGTAATGAGGAGGGCGGATTTGTTAAAGTTCGCTTTCAGAACTTCGATGTCGCGGACTAAGAGGTGGGTAGTTAAGAGGGTGTACAGTTGTTTTTGCGGGGCGAATTTTGTAGGAATATTTTTGATTGAGTACTTGAAGTACTCCTGGGTTTCCGATTCTTCGGAGATGTGGGAGACTACGGTGGAGTTAGAGTTTGTGCGTTTCCTAGTTGGGGAGAGGTTGGAGTAGTCGGAGGTGTGGGACTCACGACGGGTGCGGAGGTCGGGGCTTGTGGTAGTTTGTTTGGACTTCGGGTTGCCATGCTTAGTAATTAAATTTGACTCACCGGGTTTCCTTGCTGGTCGTTTCGATGTTGACGGCTGGGAGCTGGAGCTCTGGGTTCGCTGTGATCGGCGCAGACTGGAAGACATCCTTCCTGTTCGATGCGTAGACCGAGAATGAACCCTTTTAAAAACATGTTTCATATGGCAATTTCTTGTAGCGAAATGAGGATTTTGCAAACTAAACTCCGCCCCTCAGCTCATGATGAATAAAACATTCATCACAATTGAGAAGGGGTGGGTGGGCAGGCTTATATTTTGTCCAGTTTTTCTTAATAAACAAAGTCTTCTTTTCCCAACAAGAAACTGAAAACATATTTAATTTTCCTGTTGAAAGAAAACTCTATATGTTAAAAAAAGGAAAACAAAAAGTAAGCCCCACCCACCCGTCTCGATCTCAATTGGAATAAATTTTTCATTCCTAATCAGATCAAAGGGCGGAGCTTTACTGCAAAATCCTCATTTCTCTGCAAGTTATTATCATATGAAATACGTTTTTATATAAATATTTGTCTAAAAAATCCTACCCTTTTAAATACATATTCATTTGGCAATTTCTTCTAGAGAAATGAGGATTTTGCCAACTAAACTCCGCCCTTCAACGCATGCTGAATAAAACATTCATCACATTTGGGAAGAGGTGGGTGGGCGGGGCTTATATTTTGTCCATTTTTTTAATATACTATAGGTAAGCAGAGAAAAATGTTGTGCCTCGGTGGGATTCGAACCCACGTCTCCATGCATTCCGGGCAGGTATGCTGACCACTACACCACAAGACAACTTATCTTTACTCTGCTTACCCATGTGTTATTGTGCCGCTACAATACGAAATCTTCTTTTCCCAACAAGAAACTGAAAACATGTTTAACTTTCCTGTTGTTGAAAAAAAAGTCTATATATTAAAAAAAAAAACAAAAATTAAGCCCCACCCACCCGCCCGGATTTCAATTGTGGTGAATTTTTCATTCCTAATCAGACCGAAAGGCGGAGTTTAATTGCAAAATCCTCATTTCTCCACAAGAAATTATCATATGAAATATGTTTCTACATAAATATTTGTCCAAAAATTCTACGCTTTTAAAAACATGTTTCATCTGGCAATTTCTTGTAACGAAATGAGGATTTAGCAAACTAAACTCCGCCCTTTGGGTCATGATGTATAAAACATTCATCGAAATCGGGAAGGGGTGGGTGGGTGGGGCTTATATTTTGTCCATTTTTTCTTAATATACGAAGTCTTCTTTTCCCAATAAGAAACTGAAAACATGTTTAACTTTCCTGTTGTTGAAAGAAAATTCAATATATTAAAAAAAAAAAAACAAAATTTAAGTACCACCCACCCGCCCCGATCTCAGTTGGTATAAGTTTTTCATTCGTAATCAGACCGAAGGGGGGAGTTTAACTGCAAAATCCTCAATTCTCTAGAAGAAAATATCATGTGAAATATGTTTTTACATAAATATTTGTCTAAAAAATTCTACCCTTTTAAAAACATGTTTCATATGGCAATTTTTTGTAGCGAAATGAGGATTTTGCAAACTAAATTCAGCCCTTCAGGTCATGATGCATAAAACATTCGTCACAATCGGGAAGGGGTGGGTGGGCGGGGCTTATATTTTGTCCATTTTTTCTTAATATACGAAGTCTTCTTTTTTCAACAAAGAACTGAAAACATGTTTAACTTTCCTGTTTCTGAAAGAAAACTATATATATTAAAAAATCAAAAATTAGGCCCCACCCACCCGCTCGGATTCCAATTGTGGTGAATTTTTCATTTCAAATCAGACCAAAGGACGGAGCTTAATTGCAAAATCCTCATTTCTCTACAAGAAATTATCATATAAAATATGTTTTGACATCAATATTTGTCCAAAAATTCTACTCTTTTAAAAACATATTTTATATGGCAATTTCTTGATGCGAGATAAGGGTTTTGCAAACTAAACTCCGCCCTTCAGCTCATGATGAATATAATATTCATCACAACTAGGAATGGGTGGGTGGGCGGGGCTTATATTTTGTCCATTTGTTTTTAATATACGAAGTCTTCTTTTCCCAACAACAAACTGAAAACATGTTTAACTTTCCTGTTGTTGAAAGAAAATTCTATATATTAAAAAAAAAAAACAAAAATTAAGCTCCACCCACCCGCCCGGATTTCAATTGTGGTGAATTTTTCATTTCTAATCAAACCGAAGGGCGGGGTTTAATTGCAAAATCCTCATTTCTCTGAAATTATCAAATGAAATATGTTTTTACATAAAAATATAGAATCGTGAATACACTAAACCGATTTTGGGTTTAAACTACGTAAAATTAAAAAAAATTAATTACAGTTGTTTTCTAGTTGCAAACTTGTTTATAATTTTGTTTGTTAATTATTTTCTTTCTCTAAACACTTTTAATTTCATAATCCATACATTTGCATAATGATGTATGTGGAATTCTCCTGACTCTAAGGAAAGATACCCGAGCTTCAAGTTCACCATTTCAAACTCAAGACCACCCAACAAAAACCCGGAATTACCAAAATGCAGCAGACCTGTTTCTCGACCAGATCTGAATATGCATAACCTTACTTCGCTGGTCAATCGACTCCTGCTCCTGCCACCGCACAATGACAGTCCTCACTTGCATCCTAGCCGCCACCGTAATAATCACCTGCTCTGCCACCATCCGTAACACTCCCCCAACAGTCTAATTTTTTCTCACCTCCGTATGTTCCAGCACCCAATTTCAAACGATGTCAGCGAACAAACCCACAATTCCAAACTTGTTTGCTAGAAGCGGCGCAACACGGAGTCCAGCAACTAACCAAACCGTACCAAGAACTCGATTTACCGAATTTGGAGCCTCTGGAAGTGGCTGCTTTGACCGTGTCTGGTGGTAGTACCGTTTCGGCGGGCCAAAATTTCAGCTCTTGCAGCGTCCATGGTTTGACTGGCATCAAGTTAGACAAATTCCGGTAAGTTTTCGAAAGTTTGGTACTTTTTCTGGAGATAGTTTGCAGACTGGATTTGAAAACAAAGATTTTGGAAGCTAGCGGTACCATCAAGAGAATGAAGTTCTCGTGCCGGTACGAGTTGGACGGGAGAACGTTCGGGGTGCCCGTTCAAAGTCAAGGAAACAGTACCATTGCTTTTGGTAAGTGCGTTTTTGTGATTATTGGTGGTACTGTATGTTTTTGTAGATGCTTTTAAGGCGAATTTCTTCGCCCTTTTTGATGAAGTGTTAAGGGCGGGGAAGACGTACTACCAGACGGCGTATAGCGAAATGACGTCAAGTGTCGACAAGGTTGACTTTCAGTTTGACCATAATTTCGAGGGGGGTAAAGTTTTGGAAAATGTCGTTAAGCGGATTCTGAACGAAAACTGGAGAGAAATTTCCGGGGAAATTCAAGAGGATTATAATGGAGTGATTCGACAAACACTGACGAAAATTATCGACAGAATTTTGAATAAAGTGTCCATTGAAGAACTGTTTGGTTAGACGTGTTTCGTATGAAAAAATAGATCATTAGTTATTAATGTTTAAATCGAGTTTGGCTTATTTTAATTTACAATGTATGTAAATATGACATTTGAAAAACTGGTAGGCCTACATTTTCCAATTCTAATAAATAAAAATCAATACTTGGTTAATATAATTTTTATTAAAAAATATTTTTGTAATTGTACTATTCTCGATCGAAGTACTCTTCCAAAGACTTCTTCAGCCAAATTTTCTCCGAAACACTCGTCATTATTCGTCCCACAATTTCGTTGTACTCAGGTTGCAACTCGTCCGCGATTTCTTTCCAGTTGTCGTTCATCACCAGATTAATATTGTCACCCAACTCCTTATTCCCGTCAAAAAGGTTATCAAAGTGGAAGTACCAGCGGTCTGCCGTCGTCTCCGTTTCCGTACGAAGTTTCTTATAAAAAGTCTCCCCATTTTTCGTAAATTCTTCATAAAACGAGCGATACTTTGCATAGCAATTGGCTACAAAAGCAAAAATAGTACCACCAAAATCAAACAAACTCGGTAGTACTCACCCAAGGTAATGTTGCTGTTACCTTCACCCTTGATAGCCAAAAGAAGTATCTTCCCGTCTAGGTTATAGTGACACTTGAATTCCAACCTCGGGATGACTCCACTCGCCGATAAAACCTTCTTGTCGAAATCCAACCTACAATACAGCGTTATTGGAGTACTTCATTTAAAATGAGCTTACTCAAAGTGGTCAAATTTCATGGTGCTCAGTCCGTGGAGGGTGCAGTTTTCGAAATTTTGGTCCAGGGCGACGGCTCCGCCTTTACCCCGGACTGTCAAAGACGGGATGAAAAGGGGTTCCGGGTTCGGCAAGTCCAAGGACCTGTAAGGTTTGGTGAGTTGTGCGGTTCCAGTCTGGGCGGCATCGAACAAACATTGTGTTGATTTTAATCTCGAGTATTACTCAATAAATATACTTTTTTAAATACAAGAAAAAGTATTATTTTATTTCGAACGTCAAATCACAATCAATTGTCTTTTTACAAAACTACAGAGCCCACTACATATACTCCCCCTCCCCTAAAAAAAAAATTTATGTCTTGAACGAAACTGCCTTGGTAATCGGAAATGCTTCATCTCCTAATTTCTCCACATATGCTGGTTTAACCCTATCAATTGAAACGGTGTATTCTTTATCACGTTTCTCTATGGTAAACGTTTTTTCGTTTCGATGTAGTACTCTATATGGTCCTTCGTAGGGGCTTTGGAAGCCTGTCTTGACGCTGTCCACTCTCAAGAAAACAAAATTACAGGAATTAATATCTTTAGGCATATGAATGTTATGCTGCTTACTAGTGCGAGTATTAGTTGGAATCAAATTGGACATGATTTTTCGTAATTTCAACAAATACTCATGAGAACTATGTGGCTCTAAAGATTCTGATTTCACAAAAATTTCTCCAGGAATACGCAAAGGTTGACCATATACAAGTTCTGCCGGAGTACATTTTAGGTCCTCTTTTATTATTGTGCGTAGCCCAAGAAGAACTAAAGGTAATTCTTCATACCAATTTTCTGTATTTAGTCGCGCTTTTAAAGAAGCTTTTAATTGTCGGTGGAAACGTTCTAAAATTCCATTGGCTTGAGGATGATATGGTGTAGTGTGAATTTTAGAAAAACCTAACAGTTTTGCAAGATCTTTTAAGAGATTTGATTCAAATTGTCTCCCTTGGTCAGTTGTTAATTTTACTGGTACTCCGAAACGTGATATGTATTCTCTGACAAATGTTTTTGCTACTGTGAGGGCTGTAATATCCTTGAGAGGATATGCCTCTGGCCATCGTGTAAAGCGGTCTATAATAGTAAGAATGTACGTGTATCCATTTGAAGGTGGTAGTGGACCTACGATATCTATATGAACGTGTTCAAATCTTTCATTTGGAGTTAAGAATTCGGAGAATTTTGATTTAGTGTGCCTATAAACTTTTGATTTTTGACATGGGACGCAACAACGTGCCCACTGTGCAATTTCTGTTCTCATTTTGGGCCAAAAATATTTTGAAGCAATTAATTTCTTAGACGCTTTTATACCAGGATGAGATAAATTATGCAGGGCATTAAATATTTGTTTCCTATACTCTGCAGGTATATAAGGCCTATTATTATTATTCGATGACGTCTCGCACCAAATTATTTTGTCTGATTGGGAAACTTGAATTGGTGTTAATTTGCATTTACTATTTAATCGTGGATTATTAAGCATGTTTCGTAATTCAGGATCTTCATTTTGAGCTTGAATTAATACTTCTATGTCAACATATTCATTGGGTTTTGATATTTCGTCCATTTCAATACGTGATAAAGCGTCGGCTACAACATTACATTTGCCCTTGATGTGTTTAATGTCTGAAGTAAATTGAGCAATAAAATCTAATTGTCTTGCTTGTCTGGGACTTTTTTCTGCTTTTGAGGTTAATGCGTTAAGAAGTGGTTTGTGATCTGTGAAAACTGTGAAATCTCTAGCCTCTAAAAAATATATAAAATGTTTAATAGGTAAATAAATTGCTAAAAGTTCTCTGTCAAAAGTTGAGTATCTTATTTCTGTTGGTGAAAGCTTTTTAGAAAAAAAAGCTAGGGGTTCCCAATGTCCTCTGTTCAACTGCTGCAGCGCTGAAGCTACAGTAGTATTTGATGCATCGACTGTTAGACTTATTTTTGAATCTTCCTTATGATGTGCTAAGAGTGATATACCTTTTAAGTTTTCTTTGATTAATATAAAAGCATTATTGCAGCTGTTTGGCCATGAAAAATGTCTAATTTTATTTTTCGTTAGCCAATTCAAATGTGTGTACAATGGGTTCAGTGATTCTGCTAAATTGGGAATAAATCGATGGTAAAAATTCACCATCCCGATGAAACGTTGGAGCTGTTTCATAGATTTTGGCGAAGGGTATTCTGAAATTGCTCTAACTTTTTCTTCGGCAGGAAAAATTCCCTTTTCGTTTATGATATGACCTAAAAAGGTAAGTGAAGGCACTCCAAAAATGCATTTAGATGGTTTTATATTGATGTTATAGTCTGAAAGGCGTTGAAATAAAATTTTTAAGTGTTCTAAATGTTCTCTTTTGTTTTTACTGGCAACTAAGATGTCATCGATATATACAAACACAAAATCTAACCCTCTTACTACTTCGTCCATAAATCTTTGAAATGTTTGCCCTGCGTTTCTTAATCCGAAAGGCATTTTGGTGAACTCAAACAAACCAAACGGTGTCGTTATGGCTGTTAAATGAATATCTTCCTGGGCCACTGGCACTTGATGGTACACTCTAACTAAATCAATTTTTGAAAATATAGTCTTCCCATGGAGATGGTTGTTAAAATTTTGTATGTGTGGTATCGGGTAACGGTCTGGTACTGTTATAGCATTCAATCTACGATAATCCCCACATGGTCTCCAGTCGTCGCAATCTTTCTTTGGAACCATGTGAAGTGGTGAACTAACGTTTGAAGATGATGGTCGACATATTCCTAGTTGTAGCATGTGTTCGAATTCATTTTTAGCGATAGTGTGTCTTTTGGCATCTAATCTTCTCGGTTTAGAAAATGGTGGCTTACCATTTATTACTATATGATGCTTTACATTGTGTTTTAATGGCTCATTGTAATCAGGTTGTCGACTTAAATTTGCAAATTGTCGAAAAAGGTGTGTGTATTCGGTTTCAATTTGAAAAATTCGTGGACTAGGTGTGTTCGCTTTGATTGTTATTCCACTAATACAAAGGTTTGTTGAGGTGTCGATTAATTGTTTCTTTTGGATGTCTACTAAAAGTCCAAATTGTTGAAGAAAGTCTGCACCGACTATTGGTCTGTTAACTGCCGCAATTATAAAAGGAAATGTGAATTTCCTTCTTAAACCAAAATCAATGTTTAAGACTTTTGTGCCGTATGTATTTATCCTAGTTCCATTTGCAGCTGCTAAGTCAAAATTAGACTCTTTCTTGTATATACCAAAAATCGAATTTGGAATAACTGACAATTCAGCACCAGTATCGATAAGAAAATTTAGATGATTAATTTTATCATTGAGAAATAAACGGCTTGAATTTTGAAATACCTTGCGATTCGCCGTTGAAATCGCAGGCTTGACTAGTTTAAAGAATTACCTTGTAAATTCTGGAATTCGCATGGTTTGATACATTTTTGAGCATATTTACCAAATGTAAAATGATACCAGCAGAACTTGCCGTTTTCCTTGAATTGACTGCGGGTTGAGTTTCGACGAGGACTTTTACTACGTTCTCGTTTGTACTGTCTGTCATTAATGTCATCCTTACGTATGTTTGTCCTGGTGAACTTTTTTTCTAATGCATCTATTTTACTTTCCAAACGAGCCAAATAATTCTCTGCCGAACTTAAATTTGAGCTATAAACGTCTGAAACAGTTGAAATATAACTTGTATGTGTCACGTTCCAAATTTTTTTTTTTTTTTTTTTTTTTTTTTTATTAATTACGTCCCCCAACAGGCACTGAGGCCCAATTACAGGGGAACGGGACATACACGTTACACCCAGAGCCATGGCGGGAATCGAACCCACGACCCAAGGTGTAGCGGGCAAGCATGATGCAATTGCGCATAATTCTGTAATGTCTTGTTTTCCTGAAGCAAGTAGGGCTACATTTATGTTTATAGGCAATTTTCTCATCCATAAGTTCTGTAAAAGCTCCTTTCCAACCATAGCAGAGTTTCCCGCGAGAATTTCTAAATGTCTATAGAATTCAGATGGTTTCCTGTCACCTAATTCGTTGTTGTTGCTTAAGATTTGAGTGAGGCGTTTTTCTTCACTGTCAACGGTTCTTTCTAGCAAGGATTTCTTTAAAGTTTCGTACTTATTTTCAGTTGGTGGTTTTTGCAGAATGTCCACTACTAATATGACGATATCTTGAGGCAGTGCTGTGATAACATGTTCGTATCTTGAAGCATCGCTGGTTATTCTTTTCAGATTGAATTGTGCTTCTGCTTGGAAAAACCATGCCGCTGGAGAACAAGTCCAAAATTGCGGCAATTTTATTTGTGTTGCTGCTTCGACGAATGCTGTTTTGTTTTCAGTCGGATTCGTTTCAGAGGTATCATTGTTTGGATTCATTTTCTACGTCGGGGTCACCAATTGTTGATTTTAATCTCGAGTATTACTCAATAAATATACTTTTTTAAATACAAGAAAAAGTATTATTTTATTTCGAACGTCAAATCACAATCAATTGTCTTTTTACAAAACTACAGAGCCCACTACAATTGCTTGAAATTGGGGTCTTTGCGGAAACACCTTTTGAAATTTGGAGCTGAAATGTGGAGTTAGTTTTGCGAGAAATGGGGGAGTCTTTGGATGATTTACGTATGGTGGAGGTTGACAGTGTTGCCAGAAGGGCGAAGAGAATGAAGCGTTTCATGGTATCACTGTAAAGGTTTGAGCAAAATGACTAGAGTTTTTCTAGTCGAGGTCCAATTTATACCATCTAGTATGATAAACAAGTTCCGATGGACCTGGTGGAGGTCATCTACAAAACGTGTGGAAATTTTTGGCTTGATTTTACAATTCTGAAGGTTTTAAGTTTTTTTTATAGATATATAAGAAATGTGTTTTTTTCAGCTGATATACCACGGCATAATCTAGCGTAGACAAGAGCCTCATTTTTAAACAAACAAAAAAAGTACATTAATTTTAACTGGAAATAGAACTAATCCAAAGCAATTAAATTTGTAAATAACATTTTGTCGTAAACCCTTTCGCGATTGAGTTAAAATTAGTCAAAGATAATGGAGATCTACCTTGAAATCGCCAAAAACTTTGACTCTTTGTAATAAATAATTTCATTGTTTCGAATTGTTTCAGCAGCACGTATCACTCGTTCCCGAAAATTTCAAGAATATCAAAACTCTTTATGCTTGCACTGCATTTCTCTGGGCTCCTCTTCACACAACGAAAGTGAAAACACCGCAAAGGGAAGTCGAAAAGGAACTAACTGTTTGGAAGCTGATAAAACGTTATCGCTAGCCAACTCGCCAAAAAATTTAATAAAAACAAACACTTTCCACCTGATTCATCGAAAGTGAAATTCACGGTCACCAATTGAAGAAATGGATGGCCGGCTCTTAAATAAGGGAGGGGGGGGGGGGGTAAAACTGTGACAAAAAAAATGCCAAATAGAAAAATGTTTTCTGTTGACGAGTTCTGTTCGTGGTTAAATTTAATGTACTTTTTTCTGTAACACCTTGTATAAATTTAGGTCTATTTTAACTGACTAATAATAAAACTTCTTTTTAATACTAATGTCAGGTTAGATACTAATGTCAGGTCAGAATAAGATCAGGACAAAAAAGAACGAAAAGGACGAAGAAGGACTAACAAGGACGAAAGAGGACGAAAAAGGACGAATAAGGACGAAAAAGGATGAAAAAGGACGAAAAAGGACGAAAAGGATAATGAGGACGAAAAAGGACGAGAAGGACGAAGGACGAAAAAGGACGTGAAAGGACGAAAAAGGATAATAACTACGAAAACTACTTTTCTTTTGGATGGGGTCTATCCTTGTCGAGGATATGACCACTCGTTATTATTATTAAGATTTAATTTTTTATCATTACATAAAAGACGAATTATTATCGCCATTAAATTTTTGTTTTTTTTAGTTAGAAATCAAGTAGACTGCCCTGAATTGCTTCATTATTTAAATTTTCTTGTACCAAGAATTAGTGCACGCCATAATCATGTATTTTATTGTACTGCTGACAGAACTAACGTTTTAAGAAGATCTCCAGTTAGTATTATGTGTAGTTATTTCAATCAAATTTCACACTTATGCGATATAAATTTCGACTCTATTAACAAAATTGTTAGTTGTGTTAAGCAATCATTATATGGGTAGAATTTTCTTTTCTTTTTAGTTTTACTTTTTAGTTTTTCCTGTAATTGGGTGTAACCCCGTTGGAAAAAATAAAATAAAAATAAAAATAAAATAAAATAAAAAAGGACGAAAAAGTACGAAAAAGGATAATAAAGACGAAAAGGAGGACAAAGGACGAAAAAAGATGAAAAGGACGAAAAAGGATAATAAGAACAAAAAAGGACGAAAAAAGACGAAGGAGGACGAAAAATGATGATAAAGGACGAAAAAGGATAATAAGGACGAAAAAGGACGAGAAGGACAAAAGAGGACAAAAAAGGACGCAAAAGGACGAAAAGGACGAAAAAGGACGGGAAGGACGAAGAAGGATAAAAAGGACGAAAAAGGACGAAAAGGACGAAATAGGACAAGTAAGGACGAAAAAGGATAATACGGACGAAAGAGGACGAAAAAGGACCAAAAACGACGAGAAAGATGAAGAAGGACGAAAAAAAACGAAGAAGGACGAAAAAGGACGAAAAGGACGAAAAAGGACGAAAAAGGACGAGAAGGACGAATAAGGACGAAATAGATAATACGGACGAAAGAGGACGAAAAGGGACGGAACAGGACGGAGAGGACGAAAAAAGACGACAAAGGACGGACAAGGATGAAAAGGACAATAAAGGACGAAAAAGGACGAAAAAGACGAAACAGGACTACAAAGGACGAAAAAGGTTAATAGGGTCGAAAGAGGACGAAAAAGGACGAAAAATGATAATAAGGACGAAAAAGAACGAGAAGGACGACAAAGGACGAAAAAGGAGGACAAAAGACTAAAAAGGACGAAAAAAGATAATACGGTGGAAAAAGGACGAAAAAAGACGAGAAGGATGAAAATGGATGAAAAAGGATAATACGGACGAAAAAGAACGAAGAAGGATGAGAAGGACGAAAAATGACGAAACTGGACGAAAAAAGATAATAGGGACGAAAAAGGACGAAAAGGATAATACGGACGAGAAAGGACGAAAAAGGACGAGAAGGACGAAAAAGGACGAAAATGGACGAAAAAGACGAAACAGGACAAAAAAGGACGAATAAGGATAATAAAGACGAAAAAAGACGAAAAAGGATAAAAAGGTCGAAAAAAGGGCGAAACAGGACGAATAAGGACGAAAAGGGATGAAGAGGACGAAAAAGGACGAGAAAGAACGAAAAAGGACGATAAAAGACGAAATAGGACGACAAAGGACGACAAGGACGAAGAAGGACGAAAAAGGACGTAAAAGACGAAACAGGACGAAAAAGGACGAAAAAAGATAATAAGGACGAAAAAGGACGAGAAGGGCGAAAGGGACGAAAAAGGAGGACAAAGGACAAAAAAGAAGGACAAAGGACGAAAAAGAACGAAAAAGAACAAAAAGAGACGAAAATGACGAAAAAAACGAAAAAGAATAAGGACTAAAAAGGATGAAACCGACGAAAAAGGACAATAAAGGACCAAAAAGGATAATAAGGACGAAAAAGGATAATAACGACGAAAAAGGACGAAAAAGCACGAAGAGGACGAAAAAGGACGAAGAAAAATAAAAGGACGAAAAGGACGAAACAGGAAGAAAAAGGACGAAAAGGACGAAAATAACGAACAAGGACGAAAAAAGACGAAAAGAAGGACGAAAAAGACGAAAAGGACAAGAGAGGACGAAAAAGGACGAAAGGGACGAAGAGGATGAAATTTTTTAATGTGTTACCCGAAGAGTTTCGTAATATTAATATTTAAAAAAAAAAGCTCAAAACTTTTCTTACTATGAAATGTTTTTATAGTTTTGAGGATTATCTTCGGTGTAGAAATTTTAATAGTTTATTGGTTTAGTTAATGTGTTTGACTTGCGTATTTGACTTATGTAAAACTGTATTTGTAGTTTTTAACACCAATAAAGTATTGATTGATTGATTGATTGAAATGGACGAAAAGGACGAAAATGACGAAAAGAACGAAAAAGGATAATAAGGACTAAAACGGACGAAAAGGACGAAAAAGGACAAAAAAGGACGAAACAGGACGAAAAGGACGAAAAAGAATAATGAGGACGAAAAAGTAAGTAAAGGACGAAACAGGACGAAAATGAACGAGAAAGGACCAAAAGGACGAAAATGTCGATAAAGGATAAAAAGGACAAAAAACTACAAAGAGGACGAAAAGGACGAATAACGACGAAAAAGGACGAAAAGGACGAAATAGTACGACAAGGACGAAAAAGGACGAAGAAGAATAAAAGGACGAAAAGGACGAAACAGGACGAGAAAGGGCGAACAAGGACGAAAAGGACGAAAAAGGACGAAAAAGGACGAGAAGGACGAAAAAGGATAATAAAGGCGACAAAGGACGAAAAGGACGAAAATTGCGAAAAAGGACGAAAAAGGACGAAAAAGAACGAAAAAGGACAAAAAAGACGAAGAAGGATGAAAGGACGAAAAAGGACGAAAAAGAACGAAGAAAAATAAAAGGGCGAGAAGTACGAAACAGGACGAAAATAACAAAAAAGGACGATAGAGGGTAATAAAGACGAGAAGGAGAAAAAGGACGAAGAAGAATACAAGGACGAAAAGAAAGAAATGGACGAAAAGAACGAAACAGGGCGACAACAACAAAAAAGGACGATAGGGGATAATAAGGACGAAAAGAAGAAAACAGAATGAAAGGACGAAAAAGGACGAAGAAGTACGAAAAGGACGAAAAAGGACAAAGAAGAATAAACGGACGAAAAGCGCGAAACAGGACGAAAATAACAAAAAAAGACGATAGAGGGTAATAAGGACGAGAAGGAGAAAAAGGACGAAAAGTACGAAAAAGAACGAAAGAGGCCGAAAAAAGACGAAGAAGGACGAAAAGGACGAAAAGGACGAAAAGGACAAGAGAGGACGAAAAAAGACGAAAAGGACGAAAAAAGACGAAAAGGACGAAAAAGGACGAAAAAGAACGAAGAAAAATAAAAGAACGAAAAGCACGAAACAGGACGAAAATAACAAATAAGGACGATAGAGGATAATAAGGACGAGAAGGAGAAAAAGGACGAGAAAGGAGGAATAAGACGAAAAGGACGAAAAGGACGAAAAAGGACGAATAAGAATACAAGGACGAAAAGGACGAAATGGACGAAAAGGACGAAACAGGAGGACAACAACAAAAGAGGACGATAGGGGATGATAAGGACGAAAAGAAGAAAACAGGATGAAAGGACGAAGAATTACGAAAAGCACGAAAAAAGACGATGAAGGACGAAAAGGACGAAATGGGCGAAAAGGACGAAAACGGACGAAGAAGAATACAAGGACGAAAAGGACGAAGTGGACGAAAAGGACGAAACAGGAGGACAACAACAAAAGAGGACGATAGGGGATGATAAGGACGAAAAGAAGAATACAGGATGAAAGGACGAAAAAGGACGAAGAAGTACGAAAAGGACGCAAAAGTACAAAGAAGAATAAAAGGACGAAAAGGACAAAAAAGAACGAATGAAGACGAAAAAAGACGATGAAGAACGAAAAGGACGAAAAGGACGAAAAAGGATGAAAAGACAAAAAAGGACAAAGAACGAAAAGAACGAAAATGACGAAAAAGGACAAAAAAAGGACGAAAAAGAATGAAAGGACGAATATGACGAAAAGAACGAAAAAGGATAATAAGGACTAAAACGGACGAAAAGTACGAAAAAGGACAAAAAAGGACGAAAAGGACGAAAAAGAATAATGAGGACGAAAAAGTACGAAAAGGACGAAAAAGGACGAAGAAGAATAAAAGGACGAAAAGGACGAAACAGGACGAAAAAGGACGAGAAATGACGAAAAGGATGAAAATGTCGATAAAGGATAAAAAGGACAAAAAACTACATAGAGGACGAAAAGGACGAAAAAATACGAAAAGGACGAAAAAGTACGAAGAAGAATAAAAGGACGAAAAGGACGAAACAGGACGAAAAAGGCCGAAAAAGGCCGAAAAGGACGAAAAAGGACGAAAAAGGACGAGAAAGACGAAAAAGGATAATAAGGACGAAAAAGGACGAAAGGGGAGGAAAAGGACAGAAAAGGATGATAAGGACGAAAGAGGACGAAAAAGACGAAAAAGGCGAAAAAGGACGAAAAAGGACTAAAAAGATGAAAAGGACAAGAGAGGACGAAAAAAGACGAACAGGGACGAAAAGGACGAAGAGGACGAAAAAGGACGAAACAGGACAAAAAGGAGGAAAAAGGATGAAAGGACGGAAAAGGACGAAGAAGAGTAAAAGGACCAAAAAGGATAAAAGGACAAAAAAGGACTAAGAGGAAGAAAAGGACAAAAGGGACGAAAAGGACGAAAAAGGACGAAGAAGAATACAAGTGCGAAAAGGACAAAAAGGACGAAACAGGACAGAAAAGGACGAAAAAGGACGAAAAACGATGAAAAGGAGGAAAGAGGACGAAAAGGAGGAAACAGGATAATAAAGAGAAAAAAGGACAAAAAGGACGAATAAGAATACAAGGGCGAAAAGGACAAAAAGGAAGAAACAGGATAAAAAAGGACGAAAAAGGACGAAAAAGGACGAAGAAGGATGAAAAGGACGAAAGGGACGAAAAAACCCAAAAAGGACGAAAAGGACGAAAAGGACGAAAAAGGACAATATGGACGAAAAAGGACGAAAGAGGAGGAAAAGGACGGAAAAGGATAATAAGGACGAAAGTGGACGAAAAAGGCGAAAAAGGCGAAATAGGACGAAAAAAAAAACGAAAAGAACGAAAAAGGACGAAACAGGACAAAAAGGACGAAAAAGGATGAAAGAACGAAAAAGGATGAAAGGACGAAAAAGGAAGGAAAAGTACGACAAGGACGAAAAAGGACGAAGAAGAATAAAAGGACCAAAAGGACGAAAAGGACGAAAGGGGACGAAAAAGCACGAAAAAGGACGAACAGGATGAAAAGGACGAAACAGGAGGAGAACAAAAAAGAACGATAGAGGATAATAAGGACGAAAAGGACGAAAAAGGACGAAAAGGACGAAAGGGACGAAAAGGACGAAAAAGGACAAAAAGGACGAAAAGGACGACTATAACGAAAAAAACAAAAAAGGACGAAAAGGAGGAAAGAGGATAATAAAGAGAAAAAAGGACAGAAAGGACGAGAAAGGACGAAGAAGAATACAAGGACGAAAAGGACAAAAAGGACGAAACAGGACAAAAAAGGACGAAAAAGGTCAATAAGGACGAAAAAGATCAATAAGGACGAAAAAGGACGAAAAAGAACGAAAAGGACGAAGAAGGACAAAAAGGACGAAGAGAACGAAAAGGACGAAAAGGACGAAAAAGGATAAAATGGACAAAAAACGACAAAGAGAACGAAAAGGACGAAACGGACGAAAAAGGACGAAAAGAGACGAACAAGGACAAAAAGGACGAAAAAGAACGAAAAATGATAATAAGGACGAAAAAGGACGAGAAGGAGGAAAAAGGATAATAAGGACTAAAAAGGACGAGAAGGACGAAAAAAGGACGAAGAAGAATAAAAGGATGAACAGGACGAAACAGGACGAAACAGGATGAAAAAGACGAAAAAGGAAAAAAACGAAACAGGACGAAAAAGGACGATAGAGCATACTAAGGACGAAAAGGATGGAACGGTCGAACAGGACAAAAAAGGACGAAAAAGGACGAAAAGGACGAAAAAGCCGACAAGAGCGAAAAGGACGGAAAAGGACGAAAATGACGAAAAGGACGAAAAAGAATAAAGACGAAAAAGGAATATAAGGACGAAAAGGACGAAAATGATGAAAAAGGAGGAATATGACGAAAAGGACGAAAAGGAAACAAAGGACGAAAGGACGAAAAGGACAAAAAAGACGAAACAGGACAAAAAGGACAAAGGACTAAAAGCACGAAGGACGAAAAGCACGAAGGTCGAAAAGAACGAGGTACAAAAAAACTGAAAATATTAATTACAGATATTAATTTTGAAATAATGGCAATAAATGACTGCACTGCTACAATTAAACAAATCTTTATTAAACAACCTTTTCACACTCTTGCTTTCTACTTAATCAAACAATTCTTCCAAAGAAACCTTCATCCAAACTTTCTCCATCATACCCGTCAACACTTTTTCCACGATTTCATTGTACACAGGATTCAGCTCGTCCAAAACTTGTTTCCAGTTGTCGTTAATTACTGAATTAACATTGTCACCCAACTCCTTATTGCCACCAAAAAGGTTATCAAAATAAAAATGAGCATGCTCTGCATCCGAGTACATTTCCACGCTAGCCGTCGTATAATAAGTCTTATCATTTCTCACCACTTCGTCGTAAAAAGAACGATGCTTTGAACGGAAATTCGCTACAAGGAAATCAAAGCCAAATGAACACATATATTAAAGTACTCACTTAACGTAATGGTGCTGTTGCCTTCACCTTTGACAGGTAAGAGCAGCACCTTACCCTCCAGCTGGTACTGACATTTCAGTACCATTTTTGGGACAATTCCATCCGCGGAAAGCGTCTTCTTTTCAAAATCTAGGCTACAATAGCGTACAAATGCGGTGCTTTGTTTTAAAGTCTACATACTCAAAGTGTTGAAGTTTCATTGAGGTCAGTCCATGGAGGGTGCAATTTTTGAAATTTTGTTCCACGGCAACGGCTCCCCCTCCATCGCGTATTGTTAAAGAGGGGACGTAAAGAGGTTCCAAGTTGGGTAAATCCAAAGACTTGTAAGGTTTCGTGAGTTGTGTGATGCCAAACTGGGCAGCTTCAAAATAGCATTTTTTGAATTCTGGATCCTTGCGAAGGCATCTTTTGAAATTTGGCGCTGAAACAAAGAAGTTTTTGTGAGGAAAGTAGAAACTTAAATTTGGGGGATTTACGTATCGAACACTTTGTTAATGTAGTTAAAAGAGCCAGAAAGAGAATGTATAGTCTCATTGTAGCACTTTGTGAACGGTTTGAGTAAAACGACTAAACCTTTTTAAGTAGAATTTTGACTTATATCCATTTTTAGCACGTTAAACAAGTTCTGCAGGATAAATGTGTGCAAATTAATTGATTTTAAAGCATTTTTGGTTTTATTGGACGCTTTCATTTTTTTTTTTTTAAGAATTGTGAAGGTTTTATGTTAAGTATATTGAAAATATAAACTAACAAAGAAAATAACATCCCGATTTAACCGGAAAAATTGCAGCCTAATCAAGACAGTGTCACGTTTTTTGCAAATAATTATTAATATCCAAATAGAACCTTCAGAATAAAACAAAACTTAACAAGACACAAAAACTTGCACACGTTTTTATTATCATTTGCGAATTCACTGAAACTCGTTTTAAATTCGTGCTAAATCGGTATAAATAGAACCTCGTCGAGGACGATATCAGTAGTTTTCTTCAAACTGTTAACTAAGTTCTACAATGAAACACTTTATTCTCTTGGTTCTTTCAATTACACTGACAACGTGTTCGATACGTAAATCCCCCAAACTGAATTTTCCATTTCCCGTGAAAAACTGTGTGTTTCAGCGCCAGATTTCAGAAAATGCCTCCGCAAAGACCCGAATTTCAAGAAATGCTATTTCGAAGCGGCGCAGTCTGGCGTCAGACTACTCACCAAACCTTACAAGTCTCTAGATTTACCTAACATTGAACCCCTTTACGTCCCTTCTTTAAGTATACGTGATAAAGGGGGTGCCGTAGCCGTGGACCAGAATTTCAAAAACTGCACCCTCCACGGTCTAACTACGATAAAATTTACCCACTTTGAGTACGCAGATTTTGAAATTAAGTACCCCAGTAACACGCTGTTGTAGGTTAGATTTGGAAAAAAAGACGTTAGTTGCGGGTGGTAAAATCCCCAAATTGGTGTTCAAATGTGATTACCAAGTGGACGGTAAACTGCTTCTTTTGCCGATAAAAGGAGAAGGCAATGGTACGGTTACGTTCTGTGAGTAGTTCCAGGTTGCGTTCCTTCGGATCTACATATTTTTTTTTGTAGCAAATTTTTATTCAAACTATAGTTCGGTTTATGACGAAGTTGTGAGAAATAATAAGACTTATTATACGACAGCTAGCACGAAAATGCACTCGGATGTAGAACATGCGCACTTTCAGATAGATAATCTTTTTGACGGGAATAAAGAATTGGGTGACAATCTTAATATGGTGATTAACGACAACTGGAGAGAAGTTGCGGACGATCTGAAGCCTGAGTACAACGAAGTCGTGAGACAAATATTGACGGGGATGATGGAGAAGGTTTGGGGGAAGATCTCTTTGGAAGAATTTTTCGATTAAGTTTTTTCGTTTTAATGTGAAGCGTTTGTAAGTGAGATAATGTGTTCTGGAAGACAAAATATGTAAATATAATAGATACGGTATTAACAGTTTTTTATTAAAGATTAAATAAGTGCCGCTAATCGAAAAATTGAAAAATCAAAAACCTAAAAATTGAATAATTTTTGGGAAGTTTCGAATTTTCTGTTCCTCAGTTCTTTGATTTTTCGACTTTTCAGGTTTTTGAATTTTCAATTTTCCGATTTTTTAAGTTTGCGATTTTACGACTTTGCTTTTTTGCCTTTCCAACTTCTCAATTTTCCAATTTTTAAATTCCTCAATTTTTGGATATTTCTTTCAGTTTTGAGATTTTTCAATATTTCGATTTTTCGACTTTGTGATTTTTAAATTGATGGATTCTTTATTATTTCTCCATTTCTTACTTTTTGGATTTTAAAATAATTGTTAAACTTTAGATTTTTCGAATGTTTTATACTTCGATTTCTCAATTTTTCAACTTTTCGATGTTTTACTATTTCGGTTTTTAAAATTCTTGGTTTTTCGATATCTCGAGTTTCCAGTTTTTCTATATTTCAATTTTTCAATTTTTAGAATTTTTTAATTTTCGATTTTCCAGTTTTTCTTTTTTAAAATTTCGATTATTCAGTTTTTTGATTTCTCAGTTTATCGAATTCAGATGTTTCGTTGTTTTGATTGTTCAATTTCTCGATTCTTCAATTTTTCAATTTTTCACGTTTCTAAATTTTCAGTTTTCTGATTTATAAAGTATGTTTTTTTTATTTTTCCATTCCTCGACTTCCTAAAGTTTCGATTTTTCACTTCTTCAATCCTTCTATTTTTCGATTTTTTAAGCTTACGATTTTTCGACTTCGCTTTTTAGTTTTTCGATTTCCGAATTTTCCAAATTTTTAATTTCTCAATTTTTTGGAGATTTCTTTCAGTTTTGAGATTTTTCAATATTTTGATTTTTCGACTTTGTGATTTTTAAATTGATACATTCTTTATTATTTCTCCATTTCTTACTTTTTGGATTTTAAAATAATTGTTAAACTTTAGATTTTTCGAATGTTTTATACTTCGATTTCTCAATTTTTCAACTTTTCGATGTTTTACTATTTCGGTTTTTAAAATTCTTGGTTTTTCGATATCTCGAGTTTCCAGTTTTTCTATATTTCAATTTTTCAATTTTTAGAATTTTTTAATTTTCGATTTTCCAGTTTTTCTTTTTTAAAATTTCGATTATTCAGTTTTTTGATTTCTCAGTTTATCGAATTCAGATGTTTCGTTGTTTTGATTGTTCAATTTCTCGATTCTTCAATTTTTCAATTTTTCACGTTTCTAAATTTTCAGTTTTCTGATTTATAAAGTATGTTTTTTTTATTTTTCCATTCCTCGACTTCCTAAAGTTTCGATTTTTCACTTCTTCAATCCTTCTATTTTTCGATTTTTTAAGCTTACGATTTTTCGACTTCGCTTTTTAGTTTTTCGATTTCCGAATTTTCCAAATTTTTAATTTCTCAATTTTTTGGAGATTTCTTTCAGTTTTGAGATTTTTCAATATTTTGATTTTTCAACTTTGTGATTTTTAAATTGATGCATTCTTTATTATTTCTCCATTTCTTACTTTTTGGATTTTAAAATAATTGTTAAACTTTAGATTTTTCGAATGTTTTATACTTCGATTTCTCAATTTTTCAACTTTTCAATGTTTTACTATTTCGGTTTTTAAAATTCTTGGTTTTTCGATATCTCGAGTTTTCAGTTTTTCTATATTTCAATTTTTCAATTTTTAGAATTTTTTAATTTTCGATTTTCCAGTTTTTCTTTTTTAAAATTTCGATTATTCAATTTTTTGATTTCTCAATTTATCGAATTCAGATGTTTCGTTGTTTTGATTGTTCAATTTCTCGATTTATCAATTTTTCAATTTTTCACGTTTCTAAATTTTCAGTTTTCTGATTTATAAAGTATGTTTTTTATTTTTCCTTTCCTCGACTTCCTAAAGTTTCGATTTTTCACTTCTTCAATCCTTCTATTTTTCGATTTTTTAAGTTGACGATTTTTCGACTTTGCTTTTTTAGTTTTTTGATTTCCCTATTTTCCAAATTTTTAATTTCTCAATTTTTTAGATAGTTCTTTCAGTTATGAGATTTTTCAATGTTTCGATTTTTCGACTTTGTGATTTTTGGATTGATGGATTTTTTTTTATTTCTCGATTTTTTACTTTTTGGATTTTCAATTTATTGTTAAACCTTAGATTTTTCGATTTTTCGAATGTTTTATATTTCGATTTCTCAATTTTTCAACTTCTCGATGTTTTACTATTTCAGTTTTTAAAATTCTAGGTTTTTCGATATCTCGAGTTTTCAAATCTTCTATATTTCAATTCTTCAATTTTTCGAATTTTTTAATTTTCGATTTTCCAGTTTTTCTTTTTAAAATTTTTCGGTTATTCAATTTTTTGATTTCTCAATTTATCGAATTCTGATGTTTCGTTGTTCTGATTGTTCAATTTCCCGATTCTTCAATTTTTCAAATTTTCACTTTTCAAAATTTTCAGTTTTCTGATTTTTAAAGTGATTTTTTATTTTTCTATTTCTAGACTTCCTGAAGTTCCGATTTTTCACTTCTTCAATTCTTCAATTTCTCGATTTTTTGGATATTTCTTTCAGTTACGAGATTTTTCAATATTTCGATTTTTCAACTTTGCGATTTTTGGATTGATGGATTTTTTATTTCTCCATTTTTTACTTTTTGAATTTTCAACTTGTTGTTAAACTTTAAATTTTTTATTTTTTCGACTGTGTTAAACTTCGATTTCTCAAGTTTTCAATAATAATTCAATTTTGGCCTTTTTCAATTTTTTTATTCTTCAAATTTTCTATATCTCGTTTATTTTAATTTTCGATTTCTCAATTTTCCGATGTTTCAATGATACGATTTCTCAATTTTTGTCCTCTTCAATTTTACGGTTTATAAACATTTCGATTTTTCAATTTTTAAAATTTTCACGTTTCTAAATTTTCCGATATCTAAAGTATTTTTTTTATTTTTCCATTTCTCGACTTCCTAAAGTTTCGATTTTTCACTTCCTCAATTCTTCAATTTTTCGATTTTTAATCTTGCGATTTTTCGACTTTGCTTTTTTGGTTTATCGATTTCTCAATTTTCGAAATTTATTGGATATTTCTTTCAGTTGTGAGATTTTTCAATATTTCGATTTTGCAACTTTGTGATTTTTGGATTGATCGATTTTTTATTTCTCGATTTTTTAATTTGGATTTTCAACTTATTGTTAAACTTTAAATTTTTCAATTTTTTTTTAGAATTTATTAATTTTCTATTTTCCAGATTTTCCTTTTTAAAATTTTTCGATTATCCAATTTTTTGATTTCTCAATTTATCGAATTCAGATGTTTCGTTGTTTTGATTGTTCAATTCCTGAATTTATCAATTTTTCAATTTTTAACTTTCCTTTTCGGCTTCCGACTCCCCAATTTCTCGATCCTCTGATTTTTCGATTTCTCGATATCATCAATTTTCCAATTTTTGTCAATTTTCGAGTTTCCATTTGTCGATTCGTTGATTTTTCGGTTTTCCCATTTTTAAATTTTAAATTTTCGAATTTTTTTTTTTTTTGATTTTTTGATGTTTAGATTTCTCCATTTTTCAATTTTACGATATTTTAGCTTTTCAATGTTTTAAATTTTAGATTATTCGATTTTTCAGTTCTTCAAAATTTTTTAATTTCGTGTTTCGATTTCTTGATTCGCTAACTTTTCAATTTTTCGATTTTTAAATTTTAGATTTTCGAATTTTTATTTTTTCTATTTTACGATATTTTAGCTTTTCAATGTTTCAAGTTTTACATTTTTCGATTTTTCAGCTCTTCAAAATTTTTTAATTTTTCAAATTTTAACTTTTCTTTTCGGCTTCCGTCTCCCCAATTTCTCGATTCTATGATTTTTCGATTTCTCGATGTCTCAGCATTTGAATTTTTCGATGTTTCGATTTTTGGATTTCTCGTTTTTTCGTTTTTTATTTTTGGGTTTTTCAATTTCTCGATTTTCCAATTTTTCAATGTTCCGATTTTTAGTAATCCGATTTTTCAATTTTTCGATTTTTTAAATTGAACTGTGTTTTTCAATTCTTCATATATTTTAATTGTTCAATGTTTATCAATTTTAAATTTTTCAATTTCTCGATTTTTTACTTATCAGTTCTTCAGTATTTCTATTTTTCAATTTTTCGAATTTTGACTTTGCTAAATTTTTATTTTTCGGATTTCTCAATTATTCTATTTCTGATTTTCCCACTTCTCAAAGTTTCGATTTTTCAGTTCTTCAATTCTTCGATTTTTCGACTTCGCTTTATTGGATTTTCGATTTCTCAATTTTCCAATTTTTTAATTCCTCAATTTTTGGATATTTCTTTCAGTTTTGAGATTTTTCAATATTTCGATTCTTCGACTTTTCGATGTTTCGACTTCTGGATTTTTCGATTTTTATATTTGGATTTTCCGTTTTTCGTTGCTTAAACTTTAGATTTTTCAATTTTTCGATTGTTTTATATTTCAATTTCTCAATTTTTCAACTTTTCCACGTTTACGTTTTTCAATTTTAAAGTTTCTAGATTTTTAGATTTCTGGAGTTTCCAGTTTTAATTTTTTAATTTTCCGAATTTTTAAATTTTTTGAAATCTCGATTTATCGAGATTCCGATTTTTCGATATTTTGATTGTTCAATCTCTCGATTTATCAATTTTTCGATTTTTCGACTTCCGACTTTTCGACTCTTCGATTTTTCGGCCTTTTTATTTTTCGATTTCTCAGTTTTTGAATTTTACGATGTGTTGGTTTTTCGATTTTTTGCTTTTCGGTTTCTCGAATGTTCGACGATTCGATTCTTGAATTGTCATATTTTTCAATTTTGCAATTTTTTTTAATTTTCGATTCATTGATTTTTCAGTTTTTCGATTTTTAAATTTTAGTACTTCGATTTTCAGTTCTTCAATATTTTTTAATTCTTCAAATTTCGACGTTTCTAAATTTTCAGTTTTCGATTTTCTCAATTTTCCCATTTCTCCAC